CTGAACATTTTCTCTAAACACAACTCTGTTGGACTTTCAAAATAAGACTCCAGGGACCCTACAAAATAAAAGCCTCTAGATTATACTAATGCAATAATTGATGCAAATGGCTCAACATTATGACCCAAACTCTTCCAGGTTGTTTTTATTAGACTCTAGTGACCTTTTCAAAACACACCCCAGAGCAAATTTCACAATAAAAGTCTCCCATTTACTCTGTAATACAGCAACTATTCACCTAATAACATGGAAAACCAGTGATTTAACATGTGGAAATGGATTCTATATCACTGCTGGGCATGACCCATCTTTTGATGCACATCCATGATAGACTTTCAAAATAAGACTACAGGGACTCTACAGAATAAAAGCCTCTTCCTTATACACACTCATACATTCTGGCATATTGCTCATAGCCATTTGTAATTTCATCACTGCAATGGCTCTGAGCATGCGGGCGGAGCCCGCCATTGGTGATTTCATCACTGCAATGGCTCTTAGAAGGCGGGCGAAGCCCGCCAATGGTGATTTCATCACTGCAATGGCTCTTAGCAGGCGGGCGGAGCCCGCCATTGGTGATTTTTTTCATCCCTGCAAGGGCTCCTAGCAGGCGGGCAGAGCACGCCAACTGCGCTTTACCCACTGCGGTTCAATATGGAGAACCCATATTACCCTTGTGCATCATATGCTGTGCACGTCTATTTCCCAGATTTCAGCACAAGTGGCACACAGCTCTCTTTGCCCATGACCTAGCCCTCTTTCCTTCCCTCAGCAGCCCTCAAAGGCATAAGCAGTTGGTCTGGGGAGCCCCAATGTAACTTGCCAGGGCCGTATTGGCACAGTTACCCAGACGGGCAGTAGGTGGCCCCCCTCAAAATTTCTTTAGAAATTTTCTAGTTGATCTTGTTACTTAATCGCACACCTGGTAAAAAAAAAAAGACAGTAGCTTACTGTAATTCTTTATTATAATAATTATTAGGTTCTGATGGTGTTCCTCATAATTACTAGAGAAGAGTAATTATTTCTCAAAAATAAAGACATGCATTTATATCACAGCCTCTTTAAATTGTGGTAGAAATCATTCAACTGTAACAAAAGAAATACTATGCTTGATAGATTTTTGTTCATCATAACGGTTACTTATGTAGAAAAAATGACAAATGAACTTGATCAAAGCTTATCTTTATTTTTTTTGTACCTATTCTTTGTATTGTTTTACCTTTACACATAGGAGGCGGCTTGAGGACGTAACCAATGCCTCCATTCACCATGAATTTTGATCTGTTGAGCTGCATCATCCGTCCATCTGTTTGATAGTTCAGCGCAACTGAAAAAAAAAATACATGACAAACAAAACCATTTAAATTGGGAATGAATGGCAATCAGTTTCTCCATTATTTTGTTTTTGTTTTTTGTCATTTAGTGAGGGTTGGAGTTATTCCATAAATCTACATTTCTAACAGTTTTTAAATTTCATGGTATTACAAGACAGCATTAAAAGAACTGTCTTCAGATAGTAGAAAAGCATATCAGGTTAAATTCTCTTAAACCAAAACGACATCCAAGACATCTAACAGCCTTTTTGCCTGAAAGACATGAACAAAAATGCCTGAAACAAAACTGAAAAGTTCTTCCATCTTCAAAATCTATGTGCTAAAGGGAAAACAGATGAAGAAAATGATATGTAGGCACGTGCTTAAGGTGTTTAATTTTCCTGTTTGGATTAGCATGAGAAGAACATTATTATTTTTTCTGAAATATTAATGAATTATGCCATGATTGCTTCAACTTCTGAAATGTTTTGCATAGCTCCCCCGTCTTGCTTCCTAATCTATCAGGTTTGATTTAAACTCAGACACCTTTTTAAAGAGTTCAACATGTATCTCTCTCAGTATATAAATTTTAGAAATTCTCTTTTCAGGTTTATATGTTTGTATGTGTCTGTGTTTTTTTTTTTACCTTGCAAAATAGTTTTTTGGGTTTTTTTTGGCGTGGCATCACTGCCACACATCTAACTTGTAATACCGAATGATCAACAGGCTTCTGCCAAACTTGATAACTGCTGATGAGATAAAGTAACTATTTGAACCAAGTGTGTTGCAACAGAAAGACAACTAAAAAAATGCAGGCCAGCGGTAGCCTAATTAAGACGCAGGTTTTAGAACTTATATCTTGAGGTTATCTCTTAAAATCCAAATAATATAAACTTGGGGTTTCCATTAGTGCCAAAAATATGTATTTGTTTGTGTCTATGTACTATATGTAGATGTAGTGTGTTTATGTACAATAATGTATGTATGTTAGGTGCATCTGCTAGATGTACATGTTAACATATAATGCTATGTTTAGTGTATATAAGTGTATATGTTAGGTGTATATTTTGGGTTCTTGTGTTAGGACAGATAAATGTAGCTTATTTGTCATATTAATTTACTTACATGTTTATGCAGTTAATATTAATATATCTTGCTTTTTTTCCAAGATTAGCCTATTCTTTTGAATAATGAAACTGTATCTTTTGAGCGTATTATTTAGTAAAGCTTCCTTAGGTTATTATTTTTTTTTTTTTTGAATGTTTTTTTTTTTTTTGTCTATTTATTTTTTCATTGGCATAAACAATTTGCCTAAAATAGGATACTTTTGCCAGTGAATTTGTTTCCTGTTCAGATAATATGTAATAATAGTTTTAATCTATTCATTTCATTTTGAATTAATCACCTCTACTTACGATATTAAATTTCTGCACACTACCTTCCATCACTGGCATTCCAAAAGTTGACTGCGGATTGAGTGAGGGTCAGATAGGGGAGGGGGTGTATTGACTCACAACAATACAAAGGCCCCTCACAAAGACATAAGCACCTATCTATCATAACCTACCTAACATATATACTCAACAATTAACATAGATTTAACTATCTAACATATTCCTCTTAAATAAGCACCTAACATTTATTTTTAAAATAAGCACCTAAAACAATCCACTGGACTTTGTTTTCTAATTCTGAAGACATTTGAAAACATTTCGCTTCCCATCCAGGAAGATTTTAAATTATAAAAAATTCTATAGATTTTTTTTTTTTCTTATTGAAAAAGCTTCCTGGGTGGGAAGTGAAATGTCTTCAAACTTGGAAAACAAAGTCTAGTGGATTGTTTTCTCACTTTTTTTGCAATGACTAGGACCTGGATGACTGGGAATCTTCAACAGCATCTTCACCTAACATGTACACATTAAATAAACATAAGCATGTGACATATACAGCTTACATAGACATGTACGCATATTTTTGGCACTAATGGAAACCCATATTAGGAAACTGTATTTAGGTTAACTGTATTGAGGTTGTAACACAAAAAAAGGAAACAGCGTCGAGGGTGTGAATACCATCATGTGATTAAGGCTGGAAATTCTTACCCAATTGACAACCAACATTCCAGTAGAACTGCGGGTTGAAATTAGAGGAGTCGATACGATAGGCTGAGGGATAAATCCTTGACAGTTGTCTCTGGTTAAATGTCAGGAACTGCTCAGCCTTGTGATTGACCAGAGATTGCGCTCTGGTCTCGCTGAATGACAAAACATCACCTGGAGTTCCTTAAAAACAAACAAGCAGTAACAATACAGCCAGGACATGAGAAAAAAAATCCACAGAGGTTTCAATGCATTGCAGTTTATGCCTCGGATGTGTAGGTGTCAGTGTTGTTTTACCGTCATTTAAGCATTCCTGTGAGGCAACAGAATTGGTGAAGACTACCAGGTTTGATAGATCTCTACTTAGTTTTATTGTCTTCCTTTTTCTTCCAATCCTAAAAATATAATTGAAGAAAAAAAAAAAAAAACAGGACACAAAACTTATTGAAAAGATTTTGGTGCAAAAGATGCATACACTCACACTGACCCATTTACAGTGGAAATTCATGGCGGGGCAGAGAGGATTGTCCATAAGACGCAGCTTGTAAACCACAGGAAGTAGCATCAAAGGCAAAAAGCTTAAAAGGAACCAGCACGTATGCCATGCTGCAATATTCTCTCATTCTTGCAAACCTACATCTACAAATCCAGCATATATGCTCTTAGACAAACACAGTCAGTCACAATAATGTTTTGAAATAATTATGAACGTAATAAATAAGGAACAGAGACTGGAGAAAAGCACAAACTTAAAAGCAAATAAAGCATATAAATTTTTAAACTGACAATTTGTTTTGTTAAATTCCTAATCACAGCAAAGTGATTAATTCAAATTTCCAAAAAAGATTCTGTTTGGATAGAATAAGCTAAATCAACAGTCTGAAAATAAATACTTCAAAAAGTAGGTCAAGTTATATTTTTCTTATTTTGTTTCATATGTACTCTTTTTATAATAAACTTAGTAAAATATAAAAAGGCAAAACATTTTATTATGTATCAAAAGTAAATATGAATTCTACTAATCATACTACTTATATACTATATAATGAATTACCATTTAGATACAGACGTATGCTGTCTTTAGAATAGTAACAAAAAAGACTACAATCTAGACAAATTATTGTATTTTCCATCTATCTTCTCCCTGTTACCCATCAGGGTGATGGTGCGGCTGATGCCGATCACTTTCAGATTTTTTCAGGTTAAATCTTTTAGGTTAATAAAATAACTTTTTTCTTTCAACCTCTATGGAATGGAAAATTGCTAATTGTTTCCAGTAAATTAACATTTACTTGCTTATGTGACATTTTAATAAATTAACCACTTTTCTAAAGATCTGATACCCTTTAAAACTAAACTGCATCACATTAAAAAGATTTATTAAACCACTTTTCTTGAATCTAAAAAAAACTTAATTTTACTCTTATATACTAAATACTATATTTTTTCTTCCATGTTACTTCTGTAAATCTTCTTTAAAGGAAATTATTATATTATGAATTATGAAAAGGGTAGCTAAGATGTTTAATATATGATAACCAGCCTCAGGAGCTGTGTGATGATTTTAAAAATGGGCAAGGCTGGATTGATTACAAGATTTCTTTGCTTATAATCATTTTTTAATTGAAGAGAGAAGATTCCCAAACAATTTGTTTTTCTTTTCCCTTATAGGTCTAACTTTAAAATTTACCTTCAGCATCCCTGTTTATACAGCACTGTACTGTTTTAGGACAGAAGGAGATTTAGTGGTTTCATGTCTCCTGTTGAGTAGGATTATTCAGACGTCACTGCAGCCATCAAGCCTTTCAGTTGTCAAACACTCAGCATTATGATGAAGCCGTTTAAAGATCACCTGTTGAACTGTCCTCCAGCTTCTCTCCCAGATCTTTCCTGAGAGTCTTCCTCCTTCTCCACACTTTGACATGTCAGCCTTGATTTGGAGTGCCTCTGGACAGACATAGAAATATATTTTTTTTTAAAACCCAATTTAGAAAGCAGAAATATATTCTATGTATGTTAACTTTGCCTTTAGCTGTCAACCTAAACATTGTGCTACATTTATGATCCATCATACACAATGCTGCCTCCTTACTCAGCTGTAGTCATTCTCACTCCTACTTTATTTCTTTAAGAGTAACACATTATGCATTGTAGCAAAGAGAGGCTGAGAAGATTAGAAATGTTTAATAATTACAGTGTTCACTTTCTCAACTAACACTGCAGGCATCCAAGGCATGCGCATTTATATACAGTATACACAAACATACACACAACCACCCAAGCAGACGTGGGAGGCTGTATGATACCCAAAGAGGGAGCCATAAAAGGCTGAAGTGGAATTTTGAGTGGGTAAAAGCAGGTGGAAAAAGAGGACAGAAAAATTCAGTGGTATATATGTAAGGTTTGTGAGTAATAAAAACTATAAGCTAGAGACAAATTTTCTACTGCTTCACTGATTGGATTTTTTGTCAAAGACAAGGAAAACCTCAATACACATTTTTAACAACAAAAAAATATTTAGATCCATATTTTATTTTACAAAACTAGATTCCATAGATTTGTAGATTTTGTAGATCAAAGTAATTTTTAATTCCACACATTTACGATCACTTTTTAACAGTGAAGAAAACGGATGGATGGATGGATGGATGGATGGATGGATGGATGGATGGATGGATGGATGGATGGATGGATGGATGGAAGGAAGGAAGGAAGGAAGGAAGGAAGGAAGGAAGGAAGGAAGGAAGGAAGGAAGGAAGGAAGGAAGGAAGGAAGGAAGGAAGGAAGGAAGGATAACAGAAATGACAAAAGGAAGAAAATAATGAATTAAGGACAGAAAAACAAAGGGGGGGAAACTAAGAGAATAAGTAACTTGGGAAAAAGGGTACAAAATTAGAACAAAAAAGACAGAAATAAGAGATGGCAAGCACTGAAGAATGAAGCAAGGATTGAAAAAGAAGCAAAAAAAAAAGCATGACACAAAGAGGGTAGAAATTACACAATACAGAAAAGCAGGAAAGAAATAAGTGGTGAAGGAAATTGGACACCTGGTTGGCAGGAAATAAATAACAAGGAATACAAGGCAGAAGGAAGAGAAATGTGTTACATGGTTGGAAGTAGGTCTGAATGATGTATAGAAAAATGTCATTATTTTCAATCAGTATTGCAATTTATTGTGGTTTTCATTTGCACTAAGCACATGCATATATAAGTTTCACTCTGATGTTTTAGTGTTTTATGACCTTCAAAGCTTGCTTATCTAGAGTCCATTGATCCAGGACTTTACTGTAACACTTGCTTATAAAAATTCTTGGAGCTGTCACTCTTTATTCCCATCTGTGTGGTAGCAAACTCACTTTAAGTGTATTACTGCCAACCAAAGGACTGGAGGGAGAAAATCTTTGTCTTTCTCTTGTTAAATGTAATGTAACGAAAATAAAATAAATATTCCAGCTCTAGTTGGACTGAGAGAAAGAAGGAAGGAAAAAAAAGAAGCAAAGGACACAAGGGGGCAGAGAAGTATATATACAATTTTCTATAAAATAAAACCTTGTATAAAATACAAAAAAACATTAAGTTTGAGGTATAAAAATCCAAAAGCAGTGAAAACAACAACTAAACTGAATTAGCCTCTCTGCAAAAATAAAATACATATGACATAAAAAGATAAAGAAAATAGATTTTCTGAATCTTACCTTTTGTTTAAGTGTTGTGATAAGGGACCTGCTTTGAGATTTCCTTAGAACCCCTTTGGAGCTCTGTTCAAAAAGCAGAAAAAGACACTCAAGGAGTTTTCATCTACCACCTTGTGCACTGTTGCTTGTATTCATATCTGGGTTTCATATGGTTGTGAAATACCAAACACATTAGCAAGCAGTGAGTCATTTAAACCCTAAAGCTGTTGAGCTGAAGGAGGCGCAACAAACGCTCAATAAAACATCAGACAGCTGAAGGGAGCAGTGGGAGAGAGCTACAAAATATACCAGCTAGAATCACTTGGAGAGAAAAAGCTTCAGAGACAGAATGAGGTGAAAGGGATCACCGCCAATGTAGGACTACATTAGAGAGAAGAGGAAACCCCGATGCACTACACCCACTATGCTGAAATGGCTCTCAGGAAACCAAGGTTCTAAAAATAAGACGCAAGCAACAAAATTAAATATTAACATTAGAGACATTTAGAGCATCTTCACTTTCAGCCTTTTTTCAATATGCCTTGGATAACATGCAGTAATCCAGGAGAGAAGTCATACAATCTGTTCCATGTGTATGTTTGACCATTAAGTGTAGCTTAAACTAAACTGTCACTCGACTCTCCGAGCCTCCAGCATGACTAACATCATGACCTATTTTTATTCCCCTCCTTTTCTCTTTCATGCTCTTGATATATTGACAAGAATGTCTCTTCCTGGCGTTCAGCTCTGCAAGCAGCCTCTGTTGCTTTGGGAACTTTACCTGCCGCAGGTTCTTCTGAAGGCCCTGGTGTGTGGCTCTAAGAAGAGCTCGGATGCTGAAGCTGTCGGTGTCCTCCTTGTCTACGATCCGGGACTCCTTCAGAAGAGAGTCTAGTTTCTTTCTGATGTGAGACTCCACTTGGGTTTGGCCATTGCCCTAGATAAAAGAAAGAAACCTCAGGTGTCAAGATAAGGGAGAGCTGAATGCAAGAAAAAAGAAATCTGAGTTTCAAAGAATTAAGACTGCATAGGGTGGCTTAGGCTTATTGCAGGACACCTTTTCAGATTTTGTTTTCATATAACAACCCAAGCTTAATTAGGTTTACTAAAGATTTAATGTAATAGGCAGCATAAAACATGCACTAATGCAAAATAAAAAGGAACAATACATACTATTTCTGATAAATAACCTTCCTGAGCCATTTGCTACCCTTACAGCCGCACAATATTTTGGGTATATGCTAGCATTGTACATCTAGACCAATCTTCCTCAGTTTTGCTCCTCATGGTCCAATGTCCTGCACCTTTTAGGTGCGTCTCTGTTTAAAGTCACCTGAGTCAAATATATACTGTATACATTTGTGCAAATTGACAAATTAATACTAGAAATTTAAATAACACAAAACTGAAAAAAAGTCATTATAGATAAACATTTACTAAATCATACATTTGCAAAATAAAATATGGATTTTGATTTAGTTTTCCAAAAAATAAAACTTTTAAATACAAACTTTCCCAGAAATATTTAAGTACCTTGCTCATGTACAGTTAACAAACATACCTGTCGACAGGAGCAGGAGTCTGACACTGAACATTTCCTGAACTTTATAGAAAAGACCTGTTTTAATGATTGCCTCACAGTGTTGCTCAACAAAATTTTAGTTCAAGAGCTCAATCAGGCTGCTTGTCTACTTGCTTTATTTATTCATATATATATATATATATATATATATATATATATATATATATATATATATATATATATATATATATATATATATATAATCTTCTACAGATAAATATTTTTCCAGAATAATAACAAATAGACTTTGTTTATCTATGTTTGGGGATATACTTGGGGTCAATGTTCTATTTGTTTGTGCCCCAGTTTTAACTTGCATATTGATGTCTACACGTTTTGCATCAAAGTTTCTACATGATGTTTTTTCCTCCAGATGGGATCTCATTTCTTCACTAAATCCACCCCTCTTCAGGTACTGACATGTAAGGGGTCCTTGCAAAGCCTCTCCGTTAATCAAGGTGGCCCCAGGCTGAAAATGACTAAACAACTCCTTCCTTAAATATCAATGGTTTTTCTCTCACTCTGCAGTATGACAGTTTGCATTTAGGAGTCTTTATCTGGAGTAATAACCCTGTTTCTTTTTCTCTGCCTTTTGCTTTATTTAGCACTAAATCTCAGATAATGTAGCATAATAATCATTAGCAGCTAAAAAAATGTTATTCTCTATAACACTTCATTTTTTGTTACGTAAAAAGCATGTAATTCTATTGGTGCAATGTTATCAGTGACTGCTGTGAAAGCACGCTGGTGTAATATGCATAATACAGAAACTCCTAGTAACCTGCCAACATCCCTTTGAAAATGGCGATGATCATCTGCTGAGGCCTCTGTGGCTTTGTGCCTCCAGCTTAATGCAGGGGAAGGATCCCATGCTCACTTATGAAACCAAGCTTGGAAAATAATGCCAGTGAGGGGGGTTCCTCTAGAAAATTCATATGATGACTGCTTATGTTATGAAATAACATGCTTTAATCAGCCTGCTCCAGGTAGGAGGAGGTGTATTAACTGCCAGCTCTGGAGGTCTTTGAGAAGTGATGTGCAAAACAAAACAAAAACACAGACCTGACCATTGACTTTAGAAGCAGAACCTCTAATCCCCTTATTACCTCCAAGAATTTACAGGTGGAAAGAGGACAGAGCAATGATTACCAGGGTACAGAGATGGGGGATGTGGAGCCATCAAATCATCTTTTTGTATTTGTATTTATATGTATTTGTTCTGCCCAGCAGAAGAAATACATTGGACTCACCTGGTTCAGGTGAGTCCAATGTAGGACTCACCTAGCTCCACACCTCAATACATCGGCCATCTATAAAACTAGCCTACTGTATAAAGACTTTATATTCCACACAGACTTAATACTTTTAATATAGACAAAACATGATGGCTTTATTCTACTTTGCTTTTATACAAAATGTTATTTTTTGAAGTGTTTATTGGTAAAGTAGCATTACAATGCAGAATAAAAAAAAACTAATTTGAGACATTATCAAAGTAGCAGGCATGAATAATGCATATACAGCTCCTGAAAAAAGCCATTTTAGGAGACACTGATCACAACCTTTTAAGCAGTTAGTGCTTCTCCCATTCGGATGTTGATTCAGGCTCCAACAGTCATTAGTATGCATTACATTAGTATACATTTTCCTTTAATACATTTTACACCAACTGCAATTAAGAATCAATCTGCACTACTTAACTAATTACCACTTTCATGTGGTTAGTATTTTTATGCTTGTTGTATAGCTTTGCTCTGAGACATATTTTCTCCTTGAAGGACGATAAAAATAACTTGAATATAAAAGTGCACATGGAAAGCAAACTAGAAATCTTTATGTATCATGCAGGTGCAAATTTAATGTTTAATTCATATTTATTTCGAAGGATCGATAGTAAAACTTCCTCATTTTGTTATTTATTTCTTTTTTTTTGCATCATTAAACTTTGCTTTTCTGAAAAGATTATTGTTGTAATTACTTACAAAGCAACAACCATCACAGGCCCATTACTGAAGTCGTTATCTCATCTACAGCAACATCATTATGATCGCATTAGTGAACCTTTTTGTTGCCTGTGTGGGGCGGAAAATATGATCTCAATCTATTTATTGATTGAGATCATATTTTGAGGAATAAACCAAAGGAAATCTGCCTTGGCAGATAGATATGCTAAATGCAGATTTCGATTTTATTTTGACATCACTTTGGCTTGTTGGAAGTAGGATGTGATAACTGTTGTGTATCTGGGATCTACGAGTAAGAAATAATACCCTGACTAGATTTTAAGTATTAAAGTACTGACTGATCGTTTTTCATTTCTTACAAATCAAAAGCTGTTATAGCTTTCTATCAGTTACAAATTGAATAAACCAGATGGATATTGTCTTCTTAAAATACAGCAAAATCTTAGAAAAGCCTCTTGTGGTATATTATAGATTCATGCCTGTTTTATACAGTTTTGAATTTCTTTTTTATAAATAAAATTGTTTATCCTTCCTCCTTCTTGCATTTAGGTCCTGTTTTACAAAATTCCATGAGTATTTTACAGATATGTGCATACACTGCATAGACAGGCAATCCCCCATTATTAGATTTTACATTTAAAAGTTTTAATTCTGTTTCTTAATTCAAGTTTTAATTGCCAGAGTTCAAAGCATTTTTCTGCTCACGCAGGACCTCTGCTCAGCTAAATCTGTATAATCTATTAAAAAAAATAGATAGAGCCAGTATTTCTTTTTTATGTTCACACTACCAACACAACGAGTAAAGGATAAACAATTAATCTAATTTCTTTGAATAAAACAGTTTTTTGAAGAATACAATTTTTGATGATTATCTTAATTTACTTATAGCAAAAACTTTAGTTTCCTTTTGTTCTTAAAAACAGTGTAAAACCTTTAGGTTTTTAACATTCACTGAAGTGAAGAAGCCCAAACGATACTTTTACCTTTCTTTTTTATACATTTATCTTTACTTAAACCTAATGAAGGAGTATGAGTATGTTTGTCATGTCTGCATTCCTAACAAAATAAAAAAAAAGAACTTTATTTTTTTTTTTCATGACAATTAGAAATGATCTTTAAATCATTTGGAAATATATATATTTTTTTTTTTTGCCTGGGATTCGAAGGTGCTGTCAGATATTGATTATATAACAAAATATAACAAAAATTATAACAATATTTTTAACTCTATTAGAACTAAGCTTATACTGTAAATGTACAAAATTTTAAACTCAAGCCCCTTAGGTTCATTTTCGTCTAGTCACAGCAACTTATTCTTCCCTCAGGGGCCAAAAAAGTCATATGATGTCACAATGTAGAGGGAAATGTTTGTTTGTTTTTTTTGTAAGTGTTCAAATTGGATAAAACTGATGAATGAATGTGAGTAAAGTTGCAATATCAAAGCAGAGTGTTCTTTTTAAATCAAATGATGAAAGCAAAAGATTCCTTTCTAAAGCTGCTATTGGCCTCTTCAAACGACTATTATAATAAAATTAAAGATAGCTAAATATTTTCTCTCCTTATAAAACAAAGAGAATCATGTACATTCATATTTGCATTGCATAATTTTTGTTAGATCTACTTAACAAGAAAGTCTTAAACACATACAAAATAATTATGTCCAAAACATAACTTTAAAGATGAGTTTGAGGTTAACATGCATTTATCTAATCACATAAAGTGTAGAGTCATGTTCTTGTAGCTTACATTACTGCTTTTGAGTTTGAAGTCCTCTTCAATTTCGTCAGCACTGTCATCATCAGACACTTCCCCCTCCTCAGCATCCGCAGACAGATAGGCGGGCAGGCGCTTACCCTGGATGGTGAAAAGATAACATGACAGAAGAGTGAAAAATGTGCATTTGATCCCTTTTAATAGTAAAGTTAGTGCAGATACTTCTTTTATGTGTTGCCTGTAGAAGACAACCAGGTTGAATTAAGTATCTAATTTCTATCCATGCAGAAGGAAGAGCATATAGTCCCATAAAACAGTCAACTCATCCCCTCATTTGACTGTCAGTATGATCTACTAATGCTGCAGCTGCTGCTGTTAGTCACTAGATGTGAAAGGACACGGCCCATCCAACATTTTAAACACAGTTCCTTGAATATTTTCCCTAACTGTTTTGGCCTTAGTTGTTTAAAGTCCCCATTGTTGTTTGTTGCATAGATGCTGGATATAGAAGTTCTTACAGGTTTCACTGTAGTCTTATTAAAGTTAAGCTATGTTTATTTGAAGAACTAAACCAGTTAAGCCTACACTTGATTAGTGAAGAGGTTTGCCATCTCAACATTAATAAAATAAATACTCTCCTTGCAGTATTAAGGTGTAGGTGTAGCACTGAAATTCAGCCAAAAAGTTGTTTTTTTCTTAATCAATTAATTATTTGACAAGTAGGAAAATTATAACTGCTGATTTGAATGATTTTCCTCTTAGAAAAGAAAATCATCATTAAAAAAAGTTTAGTTGTAATTATTTAGGTTACCTTAGTGGGATATCAAAATTTTTGTGCTCTGACATATTTAAGAGTGACACAAGTGTTTCTGAAGCTTTTACCTAAACTCTGGAAAGTCTGAACAGTTTGTCCCACATTTAGCCACTCAAGGGGTTACATAACTCTCACTCATAAAAACACATGCATCTGCAGAATGCCAGTGAAACTCCCTCAGAAGCTCTTCTGAAGGATTGAAAGCCCATCAGTGAGCCATTCTTAAAGTGTGAGTGGGAGTCATTAATTTTCACGCATCTTTCTCTAATAAAAAAAATGGAGGCTTAAAGCTTCCTGCAGTAAATGTAGCCCCTCCCAGTTTTCAACCACTTCCACAAACATTCTATCCCCCTTCTTTCTAAATATGTCTCTTTGAAAAACCTTATATTAAATTTTTTTCTTCACTGCTGTTGTCTCTGGTCTGATGATTGACAGGGCAAGTAAGAGAGGTGAAGGGCTGTCAAACAGAGGCAAGTAGAAAAATAAGAAGCAGTAACAGTTTTTTTTTTTTAGAATTAATTTCTTTTTCCAAAGAAATCTGAGTAGAAGAGGACAAGGCCAAGGATCCTATTATGCAAACCTTCACATAACAGATAAAAACATTTATTTAATACTTCTTAGACGCTTTTGTTAATCTGAATGTTTTGGTGTTTTATGGTGGAAAAGCAAGATCTGTTTTATTTTCTTACAGTAACTGTGTTTGGTTTTTCTTTAGTATAGGTATGTCAAACATGTCACACTGTTTATCGCCCTGAGCACCTGCCTGGTTTTCTGCTTGCTCCAAGTGCTATAGAGAGATAAGCCTGTGAGGCTTAGAAGTGGCAGTCCTTTCAAAAAAAAAAAACCTACTGCTAATGATACTAATCATGCTACTTCCTAATAAGAGCACTACCCTCAGTAATCTTTTCAGGTACAGCAGACCCGCCCAACAATATTGTTTGATGAACAAATGAGCTTGCAGGAAGCTGATTCTTTACTTGTGCTATTATATGAGTAAAACTCTACCACTGAATATTTTTTTTATTCAAAAATGTTTTCTCATGAACAGAAAAACCTTCAACTTAAATCATTAGTGAGCATTTATTCAATATAAAAGCAGTAAAACTAAACAGTAGATGGCCTACAGTGCTGAAAGGATTAAAGGCTAAAGGGTTTGTGGATTTTGAGTCTCAGCAACTTTAACACTTTTTTATCTGATGTAAAAGCAAACAAGAAGCTGCAACATTCTAAGTGTTGCCACTTGAGACTGTCTGGTCCCAATTTTCTCCTACCGAACTTTCAGTCACAGTCATTATTTTTTACGGTTTTCTGAAGGACATTTTAACTGGCTTTTCACTCAGTATCACTTCCGTCGATTGCTTTTTCATGTTTGTTTGTCAATCTTCTAACCTTGGATACATTGACCTTTCAGCTGCACTGCAACTAGACCCCTAAACCGAATTGAAGATCTGGGTTTGTCTTCACAAAAGTAAAAATCTGCTTAAGATATCTTATTTAAATTGGAATACTAGTCAATCTGTCAACAGTTTTCTCTAAAAATACAAGTGTTTTAATTAATTTAACATCATTAATCAATGATACCAATGAAAACAAGGTTTGATGCTCAAGTACTAATCTATTTGAAGATATTTAATCAGTGTTCCAATAAAAGCACTACATAATGTTTTGCATTAGGATCCCTAAAGTTTGGTTTATGTCTGACATACGTACGCTCCACATGGACACAACATCTGCAGCTTTTATACTCCATGTGGTTTTTCCACTTTTACCTTAATATTCTGGCCAGCTCCAGAGAGACGTGTAAAGTACAAACTGCAAGCTTACATAAACTAAATAAGGAAGTAGTCAACACAGCTGTTTTCTAATTTCAAACCATCTTTGTGAAACCAAGATTGACAGTCATTTCTTTCAAAGAGTTTTTAGTCTTTTGGTCGTGGTAATATTCATAAGCTAAATCACAAGAATCCACTATAAGTTTATATTTGTGAACCTTCACAGGTTGGAGCTGTCGCTTGTCCACCATCTTTTTCCCATGTAGTTACAAATTTTCCTAGGTGTGAGGTGCAGGAATTCTATCCGTGCCGTGCAGACATCACATTGAGGAACATTTAATAAAAAAACACATAATTTAGCCAGGCAGATGCATCAAGCATTAATCAAGTTTAACCATCCTTTAAATGTTATACTGTATTCGAAACAAATATTCATTAGATACTGCTGATCTAACAGACCTGTGCTAGTACTATAGCATTTACACTCTTTTCAATATTAAACCCAGTGAAAGCAGGAATGTAGCTGCAGCAGATGCCTGTGAAGTATTACCTCTTTGTCAAACTCTGATATGCCCAGGAATTAAGCATTGGACCTTGTCTTGTTGTCAGCAAAAACCAAACCTTTAATAAATTTGATCAGTTGGAGGATGAAAGAATTAGCAGAGACAGGCTGATTTCCAAAGAGCTATTAGCCAAAACCTGGAAAACAGGTTTAAAAAAACGTTGCAATTAGATTATCCATCTGGTCAACAGATTTTTTCCCCTCTTTTTATAATATGACTGAAGATGATTTTAGGTTTAAAACCTCCAATTTGTTTTTTGTTTCTTATATTTCTCATCTGTTCACAGCGCAATATATTGCTATTGCAAGGTACAAAACCTGGAAAGGGGAAAAATAAACTTGAAAAGTCTCAGAAAGTTGTACTGAATTAAACTCTTAAGACAACTTCAGAAAATCACATGAAAATCTTTGATCATTAGGTAAAAAGAAAAGGGAGATTGTATTTTAACATATAACAAAAAGCAAGTGACCAAAGAGGTTTCATGAGCATAAGCATTCTTCTGCATGGTTCAGATCCAAACGTTCTCAAACAAAAATAACAGTGCTTTTATAAAAGCTATTTAATCCAACATCTTATATGCATAAAAATATAAAACACAAACAGCCCAATAGCTGCATCAGTCAAACCAGCACAAAACATTTAGAGTCTTTGTTTTCTCTCGCACTTATCTAGTTGCTTTCCTTTAATGAAATGTGTAACAACTTTTGCATGTAAGAAGAAATTATATGAATTTGTATTTTTATGTTTTCACATGTAATACATTTAGAATGTATAATTTGGAAGATTTTCTCCAGTGCTAAAATGGTTAATATGACAGCTGCAAATGAGCCACCAATTAGCCTGTACTTTCAGTGCATAGGATACAACATTTTTAAACCAAATGTCTGTCTCTGGAATAACTTATTCCAGAACTTTCTACTTCCCTAGCATTTATGATTAATTAAATGACCTACTTCTATTCTCTTCATCTCCTCATAAAGTAGGAAATAATTAGCAGCTGCATGCTTCTGATCATATTCCTTTCTTACTAATGCACATTACAGAAAATGTTGACAGATGAGATATTCTTCTCTCTTCTCTGTAATTGTTTAAAAAAACTACAGAGGGAGAGTGGAAATAGATGCTTTCTTTCACAGATACAGAAGCACAGTTCTCAACAAGTTCACAAGTTTGATCATTAAAAAACAGAATAGTTCCCGATGCATTTAACTATCCACTAATGTATTCTTACTTTGATGAGGATCTTTCCTTGCAGGCTGTGTGGACTGGGTAATGTTTTGGAGTCTCTGCTCAGCACATCTCCCACGTCTAGTTTGTCTCCAAATATTTCCCGTAGGTACTGTGCAATCTTTTTCTGCTGCTGGATGTTACAGTGGTTCTCAATGGACAGGATCACTGGATATCTACAAGAAAGATAAAAAGTAACATGGAGGTTGCTAGAAAAGGACTAAAAATTGAAATACTTATCAATAATTAAGAGAGTTGTCCAAATGTCTGCCGTAACCCCAACATAGAGCACTATAAAGGGGCTACACCATTTTATGAGTGCCTGAATGTTTAGTGGATGAAAAAGTAGTGAACTCAAAATTTCCCACCACACACCTTGAAAAGTAGTGTGCATCCATGGTCCCTAGACAAGCAGATACATCCAACAAATCTTTTCAATATATCTCCTCGCAAAGCATCATGGAATTTTTTTGGGGGGGCGATAGAGAACACAGATGGTACAGGAACAGTGCGAGGAGCCACAGTCACATGACCAACGGTGAGCAAATAAGTAGGGATCATCTGTCCGAGTTCACTAAAAAGTCTACTATAGGTGTTAGGGCGAACGTTTGGACACAACCACAGTTTTAAATATTAAACAAACATTTTTCAATTCTTAGAAAGAAAATTAGAAATTAAAAAAATGCCATAAAGCAATATGATTTCCTACATCTGCTATATGCATTGTGTAGGCATATTATTTAATGTGTTTTTTCACTTTTAGAAATGTCGATGTAATGTTTTGGAGTATTGGCTTGGCTTTTGTCTAATGTTTTTATTTAGAAGACTGTCCCCAACTCAAATGTCACATTTGTCAGACTGAAAACTTCCCCAAGGGGGACAAGGCCCCACTCCCTCCACCTTCTTCTCTGATAGTAAAAACAACACACACCACTAATATGCACAACAGGCATTTCCAATCCTGTGCACAATATAAACTCAACTGTCATTTACATCAACAGAGAAACATTCGGTTTAACCTGACCACACAACCATGATGTGGTTCAGTGAGTTGTGTGAATAATCACTACACTTTAATGTTGCCTTTAGGCTATTAATCATATGAACATGCAGCACTGAGGTTAAGCTCTTAGCCAGATCACCTAGTGAAAAAAAGCAGCAGGAGAAACGAAAAGAGGAGGAAAATAAGGGATAGAGTGTTCAGTTTATTCATCCGTTCTCCCTGTGAGCATTATTAAATATGTTTAATTAACAAAGCTTAATTTATTTGGTATTTTCTGATTTTTCCTAATTCCCCCCTGTCTACCAGGGCAAAACAGAAAATCTGGGTGGAAATTTCACAATTAAACTGACCCTGGTAGAAAGTAGTATGGTTTAAGGGAGCTCAAGTCTGTGGGGTAATGCATATACTGTATTTAATATTTGCTAAAAACCTTTGAGGAACTTCAGAGTTTACAGTTTATATTATCCTCTGGGGTAATTTAGGGGGGTACTGCAGTTTATATTACCATAAAACTTTGTGGTATTGAAGGGAGCATTGCACTTTATATTAGCTTTAATTTTGGGGGCATTGTTATTAACTACTACTGTCCCTATCTAATAATGTAGGAAGACGGTACTGTTTCTATTACCCAAAGCTTTGGGCTGGTGCTTTATGAAAGCATTTTTAAATTTTTATTTGGTATGATTCTTTCAATTTTGGGCACAGATAAATTGATGAATTTCTCAGGTACCAAAGTAGCAAAGAATTTTAGTTTAGTAAGTATCAAATTATGTTTTTAAACTACCGGTATAAAAATGTATTTATTAGCATAGGGATATTGTCATGTCTAAGAATTAATATTTCATATGGACTTAAAAAATGTAAATTGGAACACAAAGACTTTAATCTCAAATTTAAAACATTATAAAAAAAATTGGCAGCATGGATGGTCCAATAGTGTCTGTTTGTATAAAATAGACATCTTTATAACTCAGCTACAGCCAAGATTAGAAACTGTGAGCAGTAAAATTGGAAATATGTCATCATGAAACTGCATCAGTCACAACTATGTTTAGGTACCATTGGGGACGGCAGAAACAATCAGCGGCTCCTCAGGGGAGCCAGACAACACACTGCTCAGCAGATGGTTTAGATGTAGGTACTAATTACTCCCACAATAGTAGTTTCTTAAAAAATATGTCTTCCACCTTTTTTTTACCTATTTATTTCTGTTTAATTGTCTTAAAATGTATTGCCATGAAATCAGTCAATATTGCCTGATTAAAATATGTCATGTGGTTGTTTAAATATAGTTCTTAAATTGGCTTACAGAGGGGTGATGCCCCATCTTATTTTCTGAAAGAATCATAGACGGCCTAATCAGATCAGTTGTCAGCAAAGCTAACCAGAGGATAAACACTTTTTGTACAGTGCTTTTAAATTTTGAAATCTGCCCAAATGTATTAGTACTCCCAAAACCCTGACAGCTCAGGGTGTAGACCAGGAAGCAGAGTTATAGTTGAACACACTTTTCTGCAGCTTCTCTACTGATACTCACCCATTACCCCATCCTGACAGTATCTTGCCCAAAACCAAAATTAAATAAACTAGAAAAGGCATATAGAAGCAGGCATTTGGGTTTTTGTGCTATGTGTATTGGTGAATGAGTTTCTAGATACCTTGAACTTCCCTCTAGAATTGATAAAGAACATTTAATTTAACTTGGATTCTGTCCTTTTCACCTTTCCTTCAGGCTCTGGGACCTTGATTTCCAAGTGAAATATAAATTGTACTAAAACTCTGAGTACCAACCTTAAATGCTAAACTGTTCCAATTACTCAATACTGTGGTTTTCTCTGATGCATATCCATTACTTCCTTTTTCTTTCTATCAACTTTACCTTTTGTTTATGTGAATAGAAACAGCATTATATGACAGCAGTTTCCCTGTATTAGTTGTCTTTGTTTTCCCATTTTAAAAAGAGCTGTCAAGGCAAGTCAAGCCATCAACACCTATGTTTATAGATGGGGGAGATCTGCCTGTTTTTCAGTTGCGTCCTTTTCTCTGACTGTAACTGGCTAGATGTGCTCTCTTCACCCTCTGGCATGGGGGCTGCCTGGCTGTGTGTTTCCTGGACGGGGCCTTCTTTTACAGCTGCTCTTTGTATCTCTGCTTCTGTCTCCTTGAACCCCAGTCGGCCTCGGCAGATGGCCGCTCACACTGAGCCTGGTTCTGATGGAGGTTTCTTCCTGTTAAAAGGGAGTTTTTCCTCTCCACTGTCGCTACAAGTATGGTTGGTGTGAGGAATTGCATTCTGGTCAATGAGTCGATGCAATCAACTGATCTTCCTTAGATAGAAAACTTTGAATCAATTTGAATGTATGATCTGGTGAACTGTAAAGTGCCTTGAGATGACATGTGTTGTCAATTGGCACTATATAAATAAACTGAATTGAATATTCACCCTTATTTATATTTGAAAAATTACACATTTCTGATCAAAAAGTTAGTTAATTAATACTATCTTATATTTTAATTTTCTAAGAAACAGAATTTTAATTTTTATTAGCTGTAAGCTATAAACATCATTACTAGTACCTTGAAATGTATTACTCTTGTAAAAACTAGATCAAGTTCATTTTCTGACAGTGTTTTCTTTTCAGTTATTTTATTATCCAATTGCAGGTCACAAGAAATATTGAGCTACATATATGTTTTACACAATATCAAAACATTTGTGAATAAGCTTTCATTTCACAAATCAGAAGATTCAAAGTATTAATTTATAAACTAAATTCAAAATGAGTATATATTTTTTTTTACAGAGTAGGGAAAATACTTTAAATTGTATATTGGTAGGAAAAAATACTGACTAAAAGCTATGCAAAATGAGTTTAGAGTTTATATAGATATATTCAAGAGACAGTTATATATAGATAGAAATATAGTTACAAATACAGATTTCAGGGCACATTTAGAAATAACTACATTAAAAAACATAAAATAGCAGCAGGTAGCTTTGACTTACTTGTTATTTATGAAGGCATATTTGTTGATGGTCTCTATGACAGACTTGAATGGTATTTTGGATGTCAGGGTATATCCATGCTGCACCATCGGCTCGCCATCGGGTCCATCCCAACAATCAACTATGGGAAAAAGATGTCTAGAAATTTATTTTGAACATTAAATTCATATTTTTTTTCATATTATTTAGAAATTATATTTTAGTATTTGTAATGTGAAACTTCAGAATTTAAAATGTGCGTTACCTTGAGTTGCAGCAAAAGATTTAGCTTTTTTATTATCTTAAAATGCATCAGTGAATTTGGAAAGGATTTTAAATAACAGTGAATATCCTGAAGCATTTAAATGAAGCATTCTGTTGTAACGTTGAGCAGTCAAATACAAATATCTGATAGAAATGGTCTGTTTTTGCTGCAAACATTTTGATTAGTCATAGTGAGAAAAAGCAGAGTGTTAATAATCATGTAAATAATAGTGCAGTTCTGTCTGAGCCATAGTAGAATGGCAGGTTAGGTAACAGGAATCATATCCCGACTGAGCAGTAAGTGTGTGGAATCCTTCCATTTCTGACAGAATTTCCATCCAACGTTTATTTTTTATCTATCTAATAAAGCCATAGTATGAATGCATGAAAGCGCACCTTCCACACAGCGGCAGCCAGACTGCAGCACCCAGGCATACATATCAGTCTTGGAGTGGGAGAGAAGCTGGTCCCCGGTTAGGTATGTGTTATGAGAGGAGGCGATGAAGTAGTTACACAAAGGCTGCTCCATGTCCTGATTCACTTCATTATGCAAAGGGTTGAAAATGTCACACGTCGGACTACGCATAAAACTTGTGAAACCTGTAGAAAAAAAATCCAAATCAGTAAAAGATAAATCCGATGGAATTACACTGAACTGTAAGCACTAAAACATAAATTGTTAAATCCTGTATTTTTTTCTCTTCGTTCCTAAACCATATGTTATCCCAAATACAGGACAAAAGTGATTTGATAATGGTAATTGTAACTGTAGCTAGAAACCAAACCAACCAGTCAAGCTTCCTATGCACTTATGCATAACATTATGACCACCTGTCAATGTATTGTTCTCCCTTTTGTTGTCAAAATTAATTTGCACAAAAAACAATGGACTTCAGAACAGTAGCTGTATTATCTAGCAACTAGATATTAATACCAGTCCTTACCTAAACTTGATACTCTAAGCCCTGTAAATTGAGATGAATAAAATCTTCTTTTTCCACTTTTGAGAGCAAAACTCTTAATTTATAATAATCTGTCACATAATGAATCTATTTTGGTCTTTCACAAAGAAGTGAAGCACAATAAAATTAGGACTTGAAGAGGAAAATAATTTGTAATTAATAGGAGACACACATCTGTGTGACAAATACAGTTAAATTAAGCAAACCATTAATTCAAAACAGTGACAGTCACGATAAAATCTTAACAAGTGATAATCATTTAGCAGGTAGTTTATATGTGAATCTCAACCCTTATGGAGAAGACATGTACAATATTGGATGTCTTTTCAAGAAGACCCACTGATATAATCTGTTGTGCCTGCAGCTGTAATATTTATCTCAGTTCATATGAAACTGTGCCCATCTCTGGGATGTAGGGAACATAATAGTCAAGTCAGACAAACATAGTCACTGTTGGTCTTCATGCCTCAAGATTAGTTTTATTAGTTTCCCAATATTGTCTCGTTTTCTTTCACCACAATCCTTTTTTTATTTAGATAATGTTCAGAGAAGAAGTCACCAATCAGTTACTTAATAAAATTATGATTTATATTTTCAATATATATAAATTTTTTTCACCATTCATTAAAGGAGATTCATTTGTTAGGGCTAAAATGTTCTACGATTAGTTTCTCTAATAGGGCACCAACACACTCTAAATAAACTGGTCATTTTTGGAAAAGTTATTTATTTCTGCATTGCCTTATATTTTCCATTAGGTTATGCCTAAATTTATTGTATAAATATATTGATTTTCATAATTCTGTGGTTTTAGTTTATTTTATCTTTTTTAAAGAATGATATATTTAAGCTCAAATTACTAAACAGGATTCAATTTGACATAGTGCCTGTAGTGCACCAATCATATTCCAAATGTGTGAACTGTCATTAATTATAAAGTTATTCTAACAGTGCACACATGTTTTGTGTGACTTACATCGCCTGCTCACTTGCAAGAGTGGTTTGTGTTTTTATATATGCTCCATATAGATGCTCCATTTTAAATCTGTAAAAAGAAGCGTAATACCTGGCAACAATCTTGCTCAGTAAACCCAGGCCAAACATAGGGAGCTGATAAGAAAGAGTCTAAAGAATGCAGGTGTATAAAAGGTAGAATCTCAGGAAAGGTAGGAACTAACAAGAAAGTTACCTTCTATCCCCAAAACACCTCGTTCTTTGTTTTCATCAGATACCTCAAACTTTTCAACAATTTCCGCAACATACTCCGAAGTCACGTTGGTCATCTATATTGAAACAAAATGAAGGAAAAAAAACATACTTAGATTACAAAACAAGCTTAACTTGGAGGCAACCAGATGTATGCTTAGTTTATCTGAAGTTGATTGGTCATCTATCCAGGGTCTTTGTCAGTTCTGATGACTCTAACAGACCAATCTGTAGTTGGGGCGCTAATGTTTTCAAGCAGGATGGAGGTCCATCCTCCTAAGCACATTCCAAGCCATACTGTATGTAAACTAATAATCTATAATCAGACTGGGTTGTTTATGTGCCATACGATAGGCCATTGAATCATTATGAGTGTGCTTTAATAATTTCAATTCCATGATCTGATTGTTCAGTTATGGTTTTTCCCTATTAACAAAAATGGATTCCTTTACCCCTACTTCAAACCATCTGTCCTTTCTGTCCAAAGTCTGCACAATTAAGTTGAGAAAGGTGTCTCCTTGGTTCTTTAGGTGCAAGTGTACACTTGAATCTTGCTGAGTGCTGCTTGCTCTCCTGTGCCGCACCAAAGCATTTGTATAATTGACACCGAAAAACAGCTACACAAGGACACACCTTTGATGAAAAAAATGTAAATTTTTCGAAAGAAATGACAGATGGCTTAAAAGTGAGGAAAAGGAAGCTATTTTTATTTAAAGGGAAAATCCATCACTGAACAGAATGGGAGGATTGAGGTTTCAGCCTCCAATCATCTACAATTTGGTCATAACTATTTCCAAAGAATTTATGTAAGTACACTCATCATGATTCAAATGGCCTAACTTATAGCCCATACACAACAAAAGCCCCTAACAGCCCAGGTGAATGATGGATTGATCACTGAAATGTATCTGACTCTGCATGTGCTTAGAAGGATGCGCTTCAATGCTGCACAAAACATTAGTGCTCCAACTACAGATTGCTCTGTTAAGAGCTGAGAGAAATTACATGAACTCTTCAGAAAAACAGGGCAACAGCCTGGTTGACTCTCATTTAAACATACATCGTACATTTTTGAAATAAGGTCACTGTTGAAAAAAACAGTATTATTGGAAAATGTGATATTAAACTGGTAAATAAACAGCTAACATATTTATGATGGACTAAGTGCAGCTCTGTGACACATCTGTTATATAGAACAACTGGGGGGTTTCCGATGTAAGAAGATAAATGAAATATTTTTTCTCTCTAATATCAATTAATCTCTTTTATTTAAGAGAGTAAATGAACAAAAATATTTCATCAATTAAAATAAATTCTATTGCTTCTTTGCAACTACTAACCTTCTGCTCCGTGTGCAGGAAATTGGTAAGCTCCTCTGCAGTTAGATGGTCCTTTCTGTCACTGTATGCCATCATAAGCAGGAACAGGTCCCTTCTTAGAGACATCATCTTGTAGAAGACAGAGAACTCCTCGTACGTCAGTGTACCCTGCTGATCATCGGTGTCTGCTTCCTGAAAAGTTGAGCAAGTGATGAATTCTAATTGGCAGATCTATTTACTTTATTTCAAACTGTTTTATTTTCAAGTTATATAAAATAATAACTTATCATCACTGGTAATTAAATAAAATACATTAGAAAACATTAATCCTTGACATAAAATCAAAACTCAACTGTTTTCTATTTAACAGCATAGTTTCATGTGTGATACAAATGAGTATTTGCACACCATCTGACTCATCTGGAAGTCTGTGTGTCATAGTAAAGAAAAAACGATTCCCTTCTCACGAGAAATCAGTAAACATAAACTCAATGTCACTACGATTAAGTCAAGGGAAAAATTGGGTTGATTCAGTCTGACAGAGAGGCGATGAGGCTCCAATGTGTAAAGTCTAACTTAAAAAAAAAAAAAAAAACACACAAGAAACAAATTAAAGAAAAAACAAAACTGATCATCATAGAAAAACTGCAGAGGGCAGATGAAAACTGAATCGGATAAAAAACAAAATCGTTAAACCTACAAAAAGAAATACTTTTTCCTGAACAGAAAGGGTCATTTCTCCAATTTCTTTTTTATATTTTATGATCCTTTTTTGTTTTGCTTTTTGGTGTTAAACTACAACTACAGCAATATATTATTGTAAGCAATGAACTAAAATGAATCCCTTTGACAAAACTACATTCAATCATTCAGTTATACAAGTGTATCTCCCTAATTCTCCTGCCAGTTTTTTTTCTCGTTTCCTTTTTAACATTAACATAAATGCTACCAACAGAAAAGCAAATGATACAAGCCTTCTGCATCCAGCAAATATTCTAAACACAAATGATTTTTCATTATCTAAGCAAACCTTTTAACAAACCATTGAACCAGATGGCTGATTTTACTCTACCAATTTGCTCCAACTAGCATTTAGAATCTCATATTAGCTTTCTCTCATTGTGTCCTTTCGACTCCACACCAACTAACCTAATAACACAAAGAATTCCTTCCAACATGCTCTCATACCAATAAAATAAATAATAATATCTACTTAGACAATGTGGAACGAATTCTCTATCCTTCTTTCTCTCATACACACCCACATACGACTGGGACTAACTGGGATTCACATTGATTTCCATTGAATTTACATTAATTTCAATGACTTAACCCTGACTTCAAACCTGGCCCCATGCCCTATTAGTAGAAGCCTAAACCTAATCCGAAAACAGCCCTTTTTTTTCTTCCTAACAATGTCATGAGGAAGAAAAAGTTGGAAAAGTAGGGCTAGAATGCTAGAACCCACACACACACACACACACACACACACACACACACACACACACACACACACACACACACACACACACACACACACACATATTTTGAAAACAGCAGGATAAATCAGTCCGATGGACTTGGAATGTGTGGACAGAAAATAAACAGATTCTGGGTATTTTAGGCTACACAAGCTGTTAAAATGGCAACGGTACTGTCTATCAGAGCATAAACAGAAGAATAAAAAGTGATAACTTTCTCAGGCTGGTATAAATCCAAGTGTGTTATTTTATTGTGTTATTTTACACCAGGATATAGGAAGAAAACACACAAGGATATTTTCCTTGTTGACTGAATATGTCTTTAAGTTTTTTTTTTTCAGAATACCTTAAAGATAGCATGGAAAGTAGCTTTTAGAGTAGTATTGACTAGGGCTGCAACTAACAATTATTTTGCAAATTGATTATTCTGTCGATTATTTTATCGATTAATAATCAGATAGGTTTCTTAAAGAGCATTTTATTACAAAAGGAAACCGGGTGAAATTAAAACTTTTCCACTTGAGTTCTGGATAGAGCATATTGACAGAGGAAAATGTTTTTTTTGTTTGTTTTTTTATTGTAAATGTAAAATCTTTATGTTTCTTTTTAGATTTTAATATAATTACTGCTTTAAGTGGGTTGCTCTGTCAGCTAAAGGCATGTTTTAGAGTCTTTGTACTCCAGTTAATGAATAATTGATTACTAAATTAGTTGACGATTATTTCAATTTTTGATTAATCACAATTAGTCCGATTAATTGATTCAACCCTAGTATTCACATCCTTTTAATCTTTCCTGAGTCATTAAGGTTGTTTGAAACATTTTGACCATTTCAAAAACTTACATTCCACATTGTCTCTTACTTGAATTAATACATTCCAAACTCTTAGTCCTATCTCACTATTCCTTTAACATTAAGAGCATATTTAGGACTTCTAATAAATAAAACTCCACTCCCTGAACCAAAATAAACATGACAGCGCCAGAAGACACACTCATAGCTGTCACATCTGTTTTTGTCAGAATCAACAATTTCATCTCTAAAAGATGAATAGCAAGAGGCTGGGATTTCTCTTGGTGTCTGCTGCTATTTAATTTGTTACCTAGATTGGCTAAAACCGCATTTTTCTAGGTGGACACTTTGCTTAATTAGCTCAAAAAGGTTAGCTGAACCTCGAGCAGTCGGCAGCCATTTACTTTTGATAGACATCATAATGACAAATTGTGCTGTCTTTTGCTTAGATTTTTTTTCTAAAAGGTTTATTACCTTTTATTGCTTAACATTAATTAATCCACCTACTGCCACTGTTTTTTAAACAACTAGTTTGATTGTTTGTAAATGATTTCAGATAAAAACCTGGTAATTACTAGATTGCTCTTCCTGAGACTTGATGCAATTTAGGGCTGAACAATTTACCAAAAATCAACATTATTATTATAAAGTCTCCTCGAAAAGGCTTTTGAGTATGCTAAAGATGTTTTTGAGAGACAGTAGATCTCTCAAGAGAGATAGATCTGTGTTTTATAACTTGTTAATATGTTCACAACTTCTAAAATGAATTGCAACCTTTCTAGAGACAAAGTCTATTAATAGAAGATTTAAGCAGACTTCTTAATTGTCAGTTGATTGATACAGTGTGCTATAAAATAGTTGAACCTCAAAATAGCTAATGAATCAAAGTTCTCATACCTGAAACATTTGCTTGACCTTCCTGCGTGGCAGATTAACATTAAGCTTGTGAAGAAGTTGATAGATTTCGTCAATGTTTAGCAGGCCGTCTCCATTTTTATCAGCTTCCTCAAACGTCTGCTTCATCCACGTTAAACACTTGCATTAAGGAACATGGTTACTCTTTGTGAATTTCCTTACATCAAAAGTAATGGCAGTTTAAACAGTGAGACAAATAATCAAACTTTAATGAAATTGCAGTAAAGGATAAATAATACAGAGAGAAAAAAGGATATTGGTCATGTGTGCGTTGCCGCTTGGCCAACGAGTCCTCGTCACTTATCCCGGCCATCAGGTAGCGAAGGCCAGTGATCCAGGTTCTGGCCTCCTCTGCATTCGATGTAACCAGGTCGAGTGACTCCATGTGGTTTCCATGATAAACCGTAAAGCAGCAGGCCTGATCAAAGCTGCCATCTGCATGCCGATGGAAGACATCTGACTGACCACCCTCCGTCACCTTGTAAAGGGAATCTATGGTGACTACCGTGTTAAGAAAAGACAGAGAAATGAATAATAGTTAATAAATATTTACAAATTCCTTTATTAACTAAAATGTTGTAGTATCAAATTGCATATATAATCACACCTCGGTAAGTATAAAATATTAATAAGTCCCAGTCAGCCCTTATAATACTTTTTTTTTTGTGAGTACACCTGGGTAGACATTGAAAAAAGTTGTAAGTCTGCAAACAGGCAAGAAATCAAACCTTTAGGTATAAAACAGACTGAATATGTGGAGAAAAGGGAGACTTGCAAGGTTTTAATATGGTTGCTTATAACATTTTGAATAAACTTGTGATTTAAATATTGGCAGGATTGTGATATTCAAGGGACACAAAGCCAGTCTAGTCATCAGTGATATTTTTCCCCACACTTTCATTATTTACAATAGGTACCTTATCAGCATATTACATTGCATGACACAAATCACAATTTACTATTTCTCTAGATCCACAGTTGTTCTCCTTTGCTCCAATGATTGGTCGCCTGGGTGTTTATTTATTTTTTTAAAATTTTTTATATTTGTTTATTTATTTATATATTTTATGTGAATGTTATTTTTAGCCATGTTTTAGCTGTTTTTTTTTTTTATTTATACTGTTTTATATTTTACTTATTTATTTTTCTTTACAGCTGTGAATGTTTTGAAGAACAAATTTTTATTTAACAAATAAAATTGGATTGGATATATTTTTAACTCTGTCACTTATTCTATTATTTTTATAAACTTTTTAAGGTCCATATTTGTGTGACCACCTTTGATGTAATCTTTTGCTGCTCTAACACTTACATTATGTCTATGGCACTTTCTGCGTAGGTACAAGTTTTTATAGGTGTGCGGTGTGGAAATTCTGTCTGCACAAACTCCATGAGAGGCATGGAAGCCCAAAATTATGTAATAGCGTCAAGTTTTAGAGATGCGCAATTCCAGGCAACCACCAATGTCCCTTTACAAGGTCATTGATGGATGTTATCTCGAGAAGCTGTTAATATTTTTTTATTTTGTTTTTTTGTGGTGGGGGTGGGGGGAGTTCCATAGATTTTCGTTTGGCTTTATTGTACAAACATTGTCTGCATTATTGTTTTTGCAAGCCTCTTTATTAATATTATTCTCCTGCTATTATTTCTGACAGTACAAATATGCTTTAATGCACACAAAATATATATCAATTGTCTTCCATTGTACCATTGCCTCCTTTGGGGTCACAATGACAGCAGACATTTTTATACCACACTTGTAAAAATTGCAAAAACAATATTGGGTTTAGAATTTTAAAAATTGCTTTGCACCTGGACAATTTTTACATTTGAATTTCTTCCAGACACAAATTTGTGCAGTGTGATCATTAGAATATGATCTGCAAACTGATAAAAGCATACATGCAATAGAAGGTTTGCACAAGCTGTCTGCTGAATTGCAAAAACAAATCACACAACAAACAAATTGCTCTGTCATTCAACTCTTTATGCTTAAGGTATAAAATAAAAATTCTATTGTTTATTGGATGGAGTTTGAATGCATAATAACTGTAAATAGGTTATGACAGGAGGTTGTTGAAGTAAGAGCTTGCTGATAGTGTGGGGGGCTAGGTGGTGTGATAGGTTGGATGAGGGGTGGTGTAGAGAGAATGGCTCACCCAGGAAACATTCTGTATAATACAAGGTAAGGCATACTTCAGCACTGTTCATACTCCAAGAAATCCAAAATGCTTCAATTTGAATCAAAGAAGAAGATTAAAAATATAAAACTTTAATATTTTGAGAAACATTTCAGATTTAGGATTATGGAGACATTTTTCTCTGTAGCCTGGACACTGGTGATGGAATGGCAAATGAAAAACGAAGTGAACTGGATTGAGTCCAAAGTAGACTGGGGCAGAGGTAGGTTGCAGTTTAGTTGAAAGGAAGATGGAGCTATGGATGAGGCAGCTTAAAAAGAGGAGCTTCTGATGCTTATTGGCTGCTCTAAAGGCACGGAGAGCAAAATAAGACTAACAGAGGTAGATGGTCGGAAGGAGCAGGAAGCCACGACAGAGTCTTTCAGACTGAAAGAAAATAGCATAAGTTTCATTTCAATGCTACCTTCAATGTGCTTAGCATGTGTAGCCTTCGATGTCAAGCTACTATATATATATATATATATATATATATATATATATATATATATATATATATATATATATATCATTGCCAGAAGTACTGTTATAAAACTATATACATCACCTGCTGTATTCATTTTGGAGGTTTTATGCAACAAAAATCAGTTGAGAAAAGTACATGTTCTACAACTGTTCATGACCTGTGGTTGTCCAGTTTGCCCACAGAAGTTTCTGTACAATATACCAGCCACTTGGTTATGACGTGTTGTGGGAAAATTTATATCTTTCTCTAATTATATATTAATATTCATATTTACTCACTATAAAAGTTTTCACTCAGTCTGTTTCTCTCTCAAGGCCACACCATTCCCTGCAGAATGTTGTTTGTAGACCAGACATAGCTTCTTCCCATAACAATCCAGATTCTTTCTCAAGGTTTATTCATAACATGTTACTGTTAAGCAAAGTGTGTGTAATTTGGTATGACTCTGACTGCTTTCCATTGTTGTAACTAGGGGGGGACGAACCCTGCCCAGATCAGAACAGAGCAGAATGCTGTGCCATGATGACTGTTCTCTCTTTGCAAAGATTATTAATAAATGTGCCAACTGAGTGAAATCCATCGATCTCCGTTTATTTAACTAGGATGAATAGTTGAATACTTCTTTCCCACGACAGACCTATCATGCATTTCTTACCTAAAAACATCTTGTACCCTGCTGTGAGATGCTGGTTGGTTGTACATATTGCCCACTGAGGTGTTACGACAGATAATATGATGAAAATATTCTTAAAAATCACGCTGAAAATAAACCATGAACTCGACAAATTATTTCCTCCACTTTGTCTGCTTTAGTCTATCCTTTTAAACAGTACAGAGTAAGCAACTGCTTAAGGCTTGAGAGACTTTCACAGTCTAATGAGATTTGTGTGAACTTGGCCATCTGAGATCCTGTCTGTGTTAAGAACAGCCTGCAGTGGATTGTGTCCTGTTCTGAATTCTATACAAAAGCTACTCATGCATTTTAACCTGTGCCTGTGTCTACCACTGTGAAATTACTTTCAAACATTTTAAGAAACTCATCAAAATTAAACATTTATTTAATTCAAACAGTAAATCTTGTGTTTTTAAATGATCACCAGTTCCATTGTTTAGAATCTCCTTAGAAATGCATAAAAATGTCCAAATACATTCAATTTTATTATTTCTTGTTACATAATCTCATCTCTCAAATACTGCTGTTACTAACAATATGGCAGCCTTGTTCTGATCCTGAACAAACACACACCCACACGCACACACACACACACACAAACATGCACATTCGAGTAAATAACCTGGAAGTTGTTGTGTTTTTTCTCATTATGTCAAGAGAGATGATCTAAGCAGCTTATCAGAGCTTGACATTTCCCTAGAATACACACTAAAAAAGATACCCACATTTACACACAATTGGGTGCCTGTGGACAGATGTTTGCTGCAGCGGGTAAGATGAGTGAATCCTACATGATAAAGAAGCGACAATGATGCTTTGACAGGGCAATGCAGTGTTTATTGTTAATCCCCTCAGAGCTGCAGCAATGTGGCTGGTAGATTCAGATTATTTTAAAGCTCTACAGATGCTCTCGGAAAAAATAAGGGATACTAAAAAATTGAGGAGTAAAATGTAGACAAATTTATAACATAAACCGGGATTATTGTGATTGTGTAAGTTCACTGCATTAATCTGTGTATTTAAATTTGTGTATTCTTTTTTGCAAGACTGTCTTGAGCCAAGGCATTGCCTGGATCCCTGATGACTTAAGCCCAAGGGGTCAGTTAGGGTCAAATATGAGGGGAGGCTGAGGTTTCCCCCGACCCTCAGAGGTGTGAGCAGAGGCTGAGGTGTCCCCCAGGGACAAGCACAAGTCAAGGTTTTAGGAGTAGGCTCTACAGCAGCAATGTGGTGGGCTAGTTAAGGGAAATGCAATTATTGGTGCCAGCAGAACATCCTCACTGCTGCCTTATAATCCCATTCCAACTCTTTATGGTTCTTCTCCAACTCTGGGTATAGATGGAGAGTAAAATGTATGAGGTGGTTAAAATCGTGGGCATAAACCTAACAGAGTCTTTTTCAGTTTATTACGTCTAACCAAGGTAACAGAAAACCCAGTTTGGATACCTTGAAGGTGTCTCATACCTCTATTCTTCTACTGCTGAATCCATAAGTCAGGGTCTATGAGCATGACTCCTGAACAGATTATGTATGCCAGCAATGGGTTCATATTGCCCAGATAATTCTATTAGGTGATCTTCTATTCTAATAGAATATTATAATTCTATTAGGTGATCAATACAGAACCTAATATTAGCGAAACATAGTGGGCATTTTTGAAAGATTGATTAAAAAAACAGTATAATGTCCTGGTGAAGAAAGGCAGGGAAATTCAAATATCGAGAGAAGGCTTTCTATAATCTGGCAACAGGGGTCTGTGGGGACCCAGTATATAAAGCCCAAAGAGGTGTAGAGTATGAGTTTGATTACACTGTAACAGAAGAGTACAGCTGCAGCTGATTCTAAGTGCAGCAGCAGGGGGCCAGGCCAGGGCATTACACATTCAGAACTTATATCATTTTCATATCTGAATTTCTCCATTCTAATTTGTACTTTCCCATAGGTAGAAAATTTTTACTTTGCTAGCGAGACTCCGGTTTTACTGATAAGATTCTCATGAAACTTTGTTATAGGTTAAAAGAATAGCCCCCTGGTCTATCTTGATTGGAAAGTCAGACGCAGAGAATCAGGAATGGTCTGCCCATTTAATTAAAACATGTTTAAATTGCTACAGGTATCAAACAAACAATTTCTCAGATCATATGCCAAACTGGATCAAGTGTCTCAAAATTATTGTTTTTTAAGGAAATAATACTATTCTAGCTTTTTCATAAGGTGTTGAGGTTGCAGTAGAAAAGAAGCATGTTTGTCAAAATAACAGGTTTTGGCCAAGTTCAAATGAGGTGTTTAGAGCTAACAAGTGTTTTTTGCACTCCAAACCCCTTCTCCTTATCCTGTGCAACTTTAAGTAGCAGAAAAAAACAAATAAAAATCAAATGATGAATATGTTTATAGTTTTATAATTATTCTATATGATTTTGACAGAGTTTGATGTATGTTAAAAGAAAGCAAAACACAAAAGATAGAACCCATACAGTCAAACTACATTAAAGTCCTACTCACTCTTGGCTTTCTCACTCTTGCGTGAAGGCTTCCAGCGGATGCAGGACCGATGCTCATCCAGGTAGAAGAGTCTAACCAGTCCTTTGGATCCTGCCTTCAGCTTCACCATCTGAGTCCCAGACTGCATCACACTCATGCATCGCTCCACTGTGGGGAACAACCCAAACAAGACCTAGTGAACTCATTTAAAACACAAATGCAGCAGGGGCAATGCTTTATTTATGCTTTATCAGGAATGATTAAGGTGATGTGTAAAAGAGCCGTACAGCTGATATGACTCAGTGTCCAAAGTGAAACAGAGAAGCAAGTGCATAAAGGCACAAGGGTGTCTGGTGCTGGTTTAAACTCCAAAGAGGCAAAATACAAAAGTTGAATCTGTTTCCTTTTCTACTCTTTGTTTCCCTGAGAGCATGAAGGTAGCTAAAAACAAGCTAAAGATAATGCTGAGGCAGGTGGGATACATTTTTACTCTTAAAAAAAAAGTGTTTTCTGTGTGTGTGGAAATCTCTAAAAAATCACCCCAGCAGTAGTACATTTATGTAGTTTCCTTTAGGGAAACACTTTAGTATCCTCATATCTGTGTTAATATGTATATCTATATATGTATTAAAACAGTCCAATTTAAGACTAGGTTTGATGGTAAATGACATTCTTTTGTATTTGCAAATGTTTTGTTTTATATTTTTTATGGAAAGTGAACTCAGAGGAACTAATCAAATTAATAAGTGGTTAGGGCATAGGACTTGGAATCCTGAGGTTCTGAGTTTGAGCCCCACTCCCACAGACTTTCACTGTAGGTCTCTGAGCAAAGACCCTAAACCCCACAATGCTCCCGGGGCACCACACAATGGCAGCCCACTGCTCCCCAAGGGGATGGGTTAAATACAGAGGTACATTTCTCCAATATGAGATCAATAAAGTTTAATTATTATTATCAAACAGTTTGAAATTTTCAAATGCCTCTACCCATCAGCTTTCCCCTGACATGTCCGTAAGTTGGTTTGCTAACAATTTTCCAACAATCACACACAGGAACATGGAGGCAGAGTTCTCCAAGTTTCTGGTAGTTACCTAACAGGAATACATACAGCGATGTCAACCAATACTGATTTTTCCCTTCTTAGGAGGGGAGCCTATTGTGAACAAACAATTGCATTTATTTATTTGATGATGTGGCACACTAGATATAAAAGAAACTGACTTGCTTCAGAACATAAATAACAGCTTAAACTTTTTCTTATATACAAAAAACTTTCACATGTTCAATCTTAGACAGTCGTTTTAGTTTAAGATCGCAATCTTACAATGAGTAAACATAAATGTTTAAACTTAGAAATATGTGAACTTAATGCTTTCCCTCGACGGATTGTTGAAAAAGATTTAAAGATCTCTTTAGCTTTCCCAAAGTTACCATGGGAGCTTGGGCTCCCTTAGGTTAATGCTCTCTTTTAACTTAACCCTGCTTTAAATGTCTCAACAACTTTTCCATAACATTTCTGGTGTGTTCTTGTGTTTTAATGATGTTCTTTGTCCACTCCATATATTTGAATTTTTTAGAAGTAACACACAAGTGATATGCCATAAGCCATGATATTGATTTTAAACATTGATAGAGCAAGATGCTTTTCTCTACTCTCCAAGCTTAAACACTCATAGGAAAATGTGATGCCTACTGTGCTTAGTGTAAAGGTTTTGCAAACCCCCACACTCTTTATCTTTCCTAAGGATCTAAAGAGAGAAAGCGACATTGGAGAATAGAATATTTTACAGCCCAGGGAATCTCACTCTTTAGACTGCCTAAAAGCTAAGTGGACCTTTAGGCTACTTCGAGAACCAGATTTCTGCAAAGCAAACTGTCTGCAACTTTCTCTCTGATTTACAGCAATAACTTGGAGCCAGAGATCTCATATGTTGTAAACCAGAAGACCCAGAAAAAGATGCACCTGGCCTTCTCTACAGAGGTTACAGGTCTTGCAAGATAAGGAACGTTTTTCCAGCTTGACATATTCACTGTTGAGAAAGCAAGTCAACAGAAGCAAAAGCTAGCTGATTGTTTTGTGGAGTGAATTGTCTCTGTAAAGTGCCTTTAATTGTTGTGAATAGCGCTATATTATTAAATTGAATTGAAATAAAATTTAATAAGATAATTTTTGTTGATAAATTTGTATATATTGATTGGAAGTTCTTGTTAATGTATTACATACTTGTGCAGAGTTTACTGTTTCTTCTTCTTTTACTTATTTGCCCTTCAGCCAGTTTGGCTTGTGTTCACAATAACACTAGAATGCAGACATTATTTTATTAAATAGTATAAAGTTAAATAACATAAAGTTACAACAGTATGTAGTTGCATAACACAAGGCATTTAACTTGTCTGTGTTATTGTGCCTTAGTGTAGACATAAAGTTCTCACAAAGGTAGTACATCCCTCATAAATTTGTAAATATTTTAACCTGCCCGATGAACCATTTACCCCTGCCCAGGGTAAAACAAATTGTTAGAATTAAAATGTCTCCATTTCAAATCTTGTGCCTTCAGGTGTTTAAAAGTTGTTGTTATCTCTCTCACACTCCTGCATTGGTCGCTGGATATTCCAAAAAAACGTTAAAAAAAACCCTAAAGATCTGAAAATGAAAAACTGTTGTTTTGTGTAAAGATGCCAACATGCTTAAATTGAGCTGTGGTCAGGACTATAAAACAGTTTAAAAGAACATGTTCCACTCAGAACAGGGGTCTCGATGATTAAAAGAAGTTGAGTGCAAATGCTCACTGTCATAACCGGAAATTGTTTTTACAGTATGAGTGCTGGCAGCATTGCTGTAGAGGTTATAGCAATCAGGGGTGGCTCTGTCAGTACTCAGGCAGTGATGGTTCTAAAAAAAGATTCACCAAGGGGGCCAGGTTGGGGCCAGTATATTTTTCATGGGGACCCAGGAAAACAAAATTATACATAAAACCGGGAAACAGTATATCATTTGATTTATAAAGGGAGCCACGAACCAAAGAGCCACTCATGGATCAACTAAAAAAAGTGAAATGTCCAAGTTTGTCGTTAAATTAAAATGTTATGGTGTTCCAATTGAAAATTAGTATGTTTTTTAACAGTTAATTTCACTTTACCTAAAATTTAAAAAATCCCGTACAACAGAAAAAAAAACAACTGAAATAATTAATTTCCAAGTAAATATCTGCTGTAAGTCAAAAGTGATAGTGTTGCATGACCACATGATGTCACTCACATTTTTCAATAAATATGACCTCATTGTCTGACCCTTTCATGATGGGTGTGATCGTAATGCAACGCCATGACCAAAGTTGCTGTTACAAAAAATAATGAGTTCTATTCAAAATACAAATGCAATAGTAATGGCTTTGCATGGTGGTGGACCAGACTTAATTTCCAGAAACATTAGTTCTGTCAGCTGCGGGGGGTCAATTGAGAAACCATTAATGCCAATATGTACTTTAACATACATACAGACATTCCACCGAATACTTTTTTTTTTACTTTTACTTGAGCAATTTCTTGGATGACAATTTTTTACTTTTATTTGAGTAGAACATTGTTAAAGTAGTGCTACTCTTACTTGAATACATTTTTTTGGTACTCTACCCACATCTGATAAGTAAGAGGTGGGTAGAGGAAGTATTCCAACATTAAAACCTTCCCAAAGTCACCTGAAAGACAAAATCCTGCCTTCCTAAATAAACTAAGGGCAAACTTACTGAATTTGTTAAGCATGTCTGCAGACCTGTATGGCATCGTCAAAGAAAGGTGGAGAAGCACAAGGTCCTAAATGTGCATTAACACAGAATGCAAGTGCCTGGGTGGAGCAAGTGATTTCTATGTCCCCATATCCCCATGTAAAAGCACGTTCAGGAGTGAATAACTTTTCATAATGTAATGTTTTAAGCAATGTGGAGCAAAGCAGAAAGGAGGTTTGCACAGTAAAGTGCAGAATAAAGCGAAGCAGGACTAAAAGGAGGGATGGTAGACAGAGAGAAAAGCTGAATTTTACTGGAGTTCAAAAATCTTAAGTTTTCATCCAATTTAACATTCGTTACCAAAAAGATTAAGATAAGATGCTCTATACCCAAATACTTTCACATATATAAATGTATGCTTGCGGTTTGAGCATAGCATGTATGACAATATGATAAATATAGAATGGTGAGTCTTGGGCTTGCTTTACCAAAAGCTACACATATAGTACAAATGCAGTGCAGGAACAATAAAAAATATATCAATCTTATCCAAAAAGAAGAAAAAAACTTTTCATTGAAGATATTGAAGTGATTTAATGGTAAAACATTCAGTTTCTCAAAAATAGCAAGATTATGATTAGCAAAAAGCACACATTCAGAAGCTGTAATCGAAAATAGCAAAATGCCTCTTCTGATAAAACCAATGATTATCTACAAAGACAGCTAAAGTCAAACCACTCATGGCCCTAAAACACATGTTTAAGCATGCTTGACAGTGCATGCACTCACCAGAGTGCTTGTCAACAGCCTCTCTAACCCGAGGATAGGCTGTGGAGTGAATTGTGTTTGGTTGTTTTTCAGTCCCGGATGCTCACTACTGGCATGTTTTAAAACAGAACATTTTTAAAACATAAGTTTTGAACATTTAAATTACCTTTCATTGTGTAATAAAATTCACACATCCATTAAAGATCTCACAATCTGCCATGTACGGTAGCCGTGGAGTTTTGGGGATCTATTTTGCAAAAGCTGCTAAAGTTAATCTAACTGGTAATGCTGGCGAATTTGAGCTAGTCACTAAAAAAGGGAGAGATCAGTGAAAGGAATGTGGTCTGATTGGGATTTAGAGAAAGTATAATGGACTGCTAAGGTCAGGCTTTCTACCATCTGCATCTGACCATGAAGTTACATAAAATACAAGGAATTACTGTTATACTCTCGTAGAATCAAATTACAGTTGGTTAAATAACAAGCTATTGTGACCACCATTTAAAATCATAATTTTATTATACACACACACACAAATTCTCCTAAAAACATAACCTCCTTGGCGGAGCGAATGAATGTCATATATTTTTTTATAAGTTATAGCTTCATATGAAATGTAACCTAAAGCCAGTACACTTTTGCCAGTATTTGATATACATAATTTCTAACTGCAA